AGAAGAAAAAACCCAAAACCAAAGTGAGAGAATCAAACAGAAAATTGCCTGTTATTCATAAAATTAAGATAATAAAAATCAAATGCAGTGCAAAGACTGATAATAAAACACACACGAGAAGCAAAAACGCACCGGATATTGATCCTTTTTTTTTCATATTCGATGATTATTATTTAGGGATTATTTGTTCATGTGCCAATAGGAAGAAGATACGACTATTAATACATCGGATTAATAAACAAAATGATAATACAAATAATTAGTCAGTTTATGGAATACTCGAGTCGTCGTGTCAGCCTTTTAGATGTCGATACGAGTTGCCTATATGGAGAATTATTTTTAAGTCAACATTTCGTAGTGATGCATACAGAGGAGGAAGAAATAAATATATAAATATATTATATATGCGCATTGTAATATTACCGTTAAAAAATTAATGTACATAACGTTTCCGTTATTATTTAAAATTCAACAGAAGGACAAATTGATAACCATACGCGAAGCAAATGGAAAATTAGATTGTAAGGAGATCAGATAATAATTAGCAAGTAAGAGTTTATCTCAAATACTTGAGACAAATATCTCTGTAAAATTTTTTGGTAATTATGGCGAAATGGTTGAGGTGGTGGAGAATATTTGGTGGTGATTAATAGAATTTTCAAGGAAGGGGGGCACACAATTGTTCATTGTATAAAACAAATTATAAATATTATATCTATATATGTGGGACTGAGACACAAGTTATACATACGATAGATTCTCTATGGTTACGGTTTTCATTTGACTATTTAATTTGTCACTGATTGCAGTTGTGACCTATGATAACGATTGTGGTAGGGAGACACTAGTAATAAAAGTAAATAAATTTAATCCGATCAATCTGTTTTATTCCCTCCGATTGTTAATGATTATTATTAATTATCATTGCAGGTGGAAACACTGAGGATGCCATTGAGGGAGAGAAATTAATTACTCGCACTAATATTCATAATTTTTGTTACAGGTAGTGTAATCTGCAAAGGGGAGGCGATTCAAATCGACGTTGTCATTATTGAGTCATCAACAAAATGATTGTCGCTGGAGTTTAGACTGCCCAAAATGTGATTTTACCATGCAGCGGGTCAATGTGTGGTTCATCCATGTCAGTACTCATTGTGCAAAAGGGTACAATTGATTTACGCTTCGAAACTAACGGTTTTTAATGTAATAATTCAATAAATAAATAAGAACACTGCGTTTTCATCGACATTTTTATGTTGCTACACTTTTTAGACAATTCTTTTCAGTGGATGTTGACCAGACTTTTTCCTGATTAACTCTAACATATTTATCATTTTTTTTTGTTTCAGATGTTGATTATGTGCCTGAAGTGCGTGGCCCCAGAACGAGAAAAACGAAAATGTCGAGAGGAAAATTCGTGTGCAATTGTGGAAAGCGGTACATGATTAAAGGAAGCTTAGACAGACACAGGCGTTACGAATGTGGAACTCTACCTTTATTCTCGTGTCCAAAGTGTTTCAGGCTTTTTAAACATCGACATCATGTTCTGTCGCACTTGAAAAAGACGTGCTCGCAAAAATGAAAATTCAAATAACTGGTAGATTTTAGTCAGTTTATGGTTGACTAGTTATTTTTCTTCAGTGAATGAATAAAATTTTGAATAATCAATTTACTCTTTGATTTTGATTAACTGATCTCTGAAAATAGGTATCAACAGATATTAATCCAATGATTATTTTTCTCATTTCAGGAGCTTACATGGACTTTTCCTGGATGAAGCATCTGCACATACCTCCAGTTAAAAAGCCATTCGTTTGTAATATATGTGGAAAGTCCTATATGTGGAGGGAATCACTGCAGAAGCATCAGAGGGTTGAGTGTGGCAAATTGCCGAGTATACCCTGTCCCAATTGCCCGAAACTTTTCAAACATCGACATCATATGCAAATTCACCTGAAAAATTCGTGCCCGGGGTTGAGACCACCGGTGTAATCGTATCTAATCGTGCAATTACTCAACGGCTAATAAATTGTTTTGAATCTACTTGTGTTTCGTTGACATCTACCCCATCTTCAACGACAGAATCATGTGCCATTCAAGGGTTGAAGCTCGTTCACTAATAACCATTCTGTTTTCTATTTTAGAAGATCCAGACCCAAAGGATTGGTTGATGTCCTGCTAGAAGAAAAGATTCACTCACAAATTATTCACAACGCACTACGAATTGACATCGTTTTTCTGCCTCGGTAAATATTTTTTGGATTCATTCCAAAACCGTTTGTCTGTGATTTATGCAAATCAATGGTGAGAGACTCATGAGAACCGAGAATTTATTCACGCCGAAGGTGATCTAGTTAAAAAATTTATTTGGATCTTCAGTAAGTGTAAGATGCTCTCAATAATTCCAGTTTTTTCTATTTAAAAATATCCAGAGTCAACGACTCATTGATAAAGCAGAGAATTCATTGAGAAGATATTGACGACGTAATGAGAATAGTTTGTCCGTTTGAGTGAGGAACCTTTTGGATGAATTCTAGAATAATAATCGTCTGTGTGTAGAGCATTGGGAATGACATTGGTTGATCATTTCAAATTATTTGTTTGGGACTAATAAAAACTTTTGACTGTTCTTCTAGTGGATTATCGACTCACACAGTGCATTGGGTTTCAGTTGCTGAATATACATGTGATGGAGTAGCAGAGAGTGAGACGAGGTGGCATTCAGAAGAAACACATCCCTTCAACTGTCACATGTGCGGCAAATCCTACATGTGGAAAGCATCACTCGGCAGACATCTGCGTGAAGAATGTGGCAAATTACCTCAGTACAATTGCACCTTTTGTGGACGAGAATTCAAGCAAAAGTGTAGCCTCCAGAGGCATTTACGTACGCAACATCACGTCAGACAACCAAGAAGATTACATGCTGATTTCATCATTCAAGATAATCATCAATGAAGATTTCGACAGGAAGATCTGGAACATTTGTCCATCACTGAAGAATTAAAACAATGTTGACATGACTATTTTTTTGTTGAATTCAATTTACTCTATTCCGTTTTATTATTACGATAATTATGACGAAATTGTAATAACTGATTTTCTACTTTATTTATTTATCGTTGAACGCGGAAGAGCCAGTACTGTAATATACCGAAAGAAACCATGAACAATCATTTGAAGAATTGCGCGCGAAGATCGGTGGATTCGATTTTACGAGGTAAATCGAATAACTAGTTCTCCCGAGTGTTGATTCAATGCGTACACTCGCTGGAGAATCGAAAGCATTTTATTATCGATGTGCCATATGAATATTGCTTGCGTCTTTCCATACCGAACCCTCATTGATCCTATTAAACTAACTAGACCGGTATAATTAATCCAATTTATACTGAATAATCAGAGATTTTACAAGGGCATTTATCAATTTACTCATTTCCCCAATACTCGAGGACCCAAAGATGACTAACATCGAGTCATTACTAATGACGAATAATTCTCATGCTACAAAACAATTTCATCTTTTTTTTTTTTAGAGAATCGTGAAGATAAATCTAACGCACGGGATGATTTTGTTTTCAGAGACAAGGAGGATCTATAAAGAATACAACAACCGTACAGATCCATCGCGGCAGATCTACTTCTGCCCTATGTGTGGAAAAGCATACACGCGACCTGATACATTGGGACGTCATGTTAAATATGAGTGTCACAAAGCTCCCCAGTTCATTTGTCCTGTATGCAATAAGGCATCTACCCAGAAGTCCAATTTGCAACGCCATTGCCGGACAATGCATGGAATTAAACTCCTTAATAACAAGCGAACTAAAGTGAAGATGAATCTAATGACTGGCAATATCGGTCTTCACGATAACATTAAATGAATATTTTGAAAGTAGGATAAGAGAAAAAGAAAGCATGGGTCAGTCATTGAAAATGATATTCAATGCGGGGCTTTCTATAGACTGACTCCCTTATTGCATATTTTTTATGCAAATAATTTCGTTAAAAAAAATGTTGTTTCTATATGGTAATCACTCAGAGAGTGGTATATCTTACTGTTGCCTTCTTACGGTGAGTCTGGGTAGAAACAAAAAAGAATAACTAATTACGATAAAAGAGTAAAGACTCATTAATCACGTGGGTAAAGCTATCCATTTGCTCATTAATGTTTAATGTTTATAATATAAGATATTGTATGTTTTTATTGTTTGTCGTTAGAGGGAGAGATTCATGGGGTACACCATCAGCATGGAAGATCATCTTCAAGACATTGAAAAAAAAAATATATCCCCTGTCCTTATTGCACTTATTTTTGTAGCCATTGAAAACTCCAAAAAGATCATTCTAATCAGCCCGCCGGTAATCGTGGCTATTTTGTATCGCGGTTTCAGGAGATCGGCACAGCATCCGTTATGCGGTCGTTCGAACAAATCGCGTATACAACATCATGGCTAATCCATTTCCCTGCTACAAGTGTGGTAGGACATATAAAAACAAGGGGAGCTTGACTCGTCATCTCCACGATGAGTGTGGAAAATTACCCCAGTACATCTGCAGCATCTGCGAGAAGGGATTCAAGCAGAAGGCTAATTTTCAACGACACACCGCCACCATCCATGCTCATCTCTTCAATCGGCCACCATGAAGATCATGCTCAAATAGTTTCATATAGATAAATTCAAATTATTCCTTTAAAAAAATGTTGAAAAACCTATAAAAAAAAGAAAAAAACGTTCAAAATGACCCGAGACAATTTAAATTGTGTAATAAGTAAGAGTTTAGATTCAACGCTGCTACAGCAATATTTGTATATTTCGCCTCAGTCAGAGTTACACAAATTTTACGGTTTTTTTTACTGTATCATTTGATATTTACACCGATCAAGCAACAATAGTTGAAGAATCCCGTAATTATTATCACTGATAATATTTTGCTTTTGAGGCTTTATTGTTCAATAAATAAAAATACTTCAAATGAAGATGAGATAAAAATCTTTTGAACCACGACCAAATCATCCAAGAAGATCCTTCACTAGAAAAAAAAAAGCTCTGAATAAAGCATGACCCCTGAAGGTGAAGCAAGTATGTAGCAAGTACACGAAATGTATTTAAAACGATAATGACGATTGTCTGCGTGTGTTTTTAGCTAATCAACCGTGGAACAGCGGTCACCAGGGACTTGGAGGATTGGAGAATGCCAAACCCTTTCCCTGTCCACAATGTGTGAGATCATACGGCAGTAAAAGTGCTCTAAATCGTCATCTGAGAGAAGAGTGTGGAATGCCCCGACAGCATATCTGTTATTTATGTTCAAGCGCCTTCTCGCAACGTTGCAATCTCCATCGACACGTTTCAACAGTTCATGCACGCGATTCAAAACCACCCAATTTATGATAATCGCCTTCTTGTCAATGAACGTGGACGATAACATTGAAACGAGGGTTTGAAATCCTCAGCGAGCTTTGAAAGTTATTGAATGTAACTATAGTTTTTCTACGTGTTAATAAACTCAGTTGATTGTCTATTAGGAAGGCATTTGCATCATCTCCTCTGTCCTCAACTCCATCGATAATTCTAATCATTAATTTCAGACGAGTTCTTCATTAAATATGGATTAATCCTTGGTATTAATACAATATTATTTTTGTTTCAGATGATATACGACGAAGTAACTCAACTCGTCGCGTCAATCACGAAAATCCATTCAGATGTCATCTGTGTGGACGACAATACGTCTGGTCAGACTCTCTGAAAAGACACTTGAAAAGTGGCTGCAATAAACAGCCAATGTTCTCCTGTCACATTTGCAAACAGAAATTTGAACAGAGACACGACTGTGAGCACCACGTCGTCAGCCTCCATCATACCTACCACTGACTAATATATTAATATCAGTCATTGCTCAAGTCTCCACGATAATCAATAAACTATTAACTATTCCATTATTCACTGTCCAACAGAATTATTCACAAATGACAAATAACTTTTGTATGTTACAGGAATGATAAAAGGGGTAAAATATTGATATGTAATTGATTTTTTACACGATAAGCTTGGACTAGTCTCTAGACATAATGATTATTACTGATGTTTAAAAAACAAATGGATGGATTAACAAATTGTCACACGTTTAAGTTCTCACGTCATTGAAATATCGTTCACCCACGACTTCTACATGTGATAATTTCTTATTTCAGGTTCCTACTCAATGTACGACGACTATTACAAGAGATTGGGTCGTCATTTTTGTCGGAAGTGTGGCAAGGAGTACAGATGGGCACAGTCTCTGGTACGACACGAGAAAGAAGAGTGCGGAAAAGCTCCTCAGCACAGCTGTCCCCTCTGTGGTATTAGAATTCGTCACAAGTGGGTGTTAAACAAACACATGCAGAATGTCCACATGTTCACAGGATCAAATGGCAAGAGAATAGGTCGCTGATGTAACTTCGAGTGACCTTTTTTAATAAAACCAAAAGACTTGTGACGAGATGATTGTTATGAAGAATATAGACAATAAATGAAGTTACGAGAATAAGAGTCCTTTTTTGTCTCTCCTCTTCGTAACAGTAGGGGATTCAACTGTCTAGGATTTCAAGACTAACGCTGATGATATTTTTCAGGATAATTCGAGAGAAAGTGTACGATAAAGTAAGGGCTTCATTTATAACGTTATTAATGGAGTTGATAGTAATTACCTGGTGTAACTAATCCACAGATTATGACAAAAAAAAACCTCTGTAAAATTAAGCTAGTACTGAAGGACTTTGATCCTCATTATCTATCTCATTTAAATTAACGTGCAATGATTTTTTTTTCCTTTCAGATGTTGGGGATTACTCTGGAATGAATTTCTGTCCCAACTGTGGACGACACTATCTCCACAAATCAACCCTGAATCGTCATCTCAAATACGAATGCGGAAAAATTCCCCAATACATATGCTACCTATGCAACAAGGGCTTCAAGCAAAAATCCAATCTGTTCCAACACAATCGACGAGTCCACGGACTATCATCATAATCAAAGCAATACAAATCAATATCCTAGAGAATAATTTTTTTACAGATTAAATTGACTCAGAATAAAACTGTACATTACTGGATGAAACGTATAACTATGCTTCAATGACTATTTTGCTTCGATAAAAATTAACACACTGCTTGGCAGATTATCTTTTTACCATTCTATCTCTCACTTTTTGAAAAAAAAAAAGACAACCCCTGATATTTAATTACACTAATGGAAAAATGCACGATATTATCTGTTTTCAGGGAATTATCGTCCAATGAATTGTCCAAGAAAAAATCTCTATCCGTGTCATAGATGTGGAAAGCTCTACAAATGGAGGCAATCACTGCAGCTACACTTGCGAGCTGAATGCGGCAAGGAGCCACAATTTGGTTGTCGTCCGTGTGCTAAAAAATTCAAACACAAACACAATCTTCTCGCTCATTTTCGAACAATGTCACACCAAGCAACTATTGTCAGACTAAATCGAAAAGCTTGAATACTGTTTGTACAAACTACTAGGATTATAGGAGATTAATGACAAAATATACATTTTTTCAATGAATATTTATCCCGTTTATCCACTGATTATTCAAAGCCTGCATGGTCTAGGATAAATTATATTAATTCTAACTGAGTTTAAATCTACTCTGAAAGGAGTAATTTTCTTATTTGTTCCAGAGCTCATTGCAGCCGCTGTGTATCCATGCCGAAATTGTGGTAAAATTTACACAAACAAGAAGACAATGTGGAATCACAAGATATTCTGTGGTAAGGGACGACAATTTCCCTGTGAATCCTGTGGCAAACGATTTCAACGAAAACATCATCTCGTTAAGCACCTGAGAACCGTCCATAAGTTCGACAATATCGTGGGAGATGTTATCGACAGCAAGAATTGGTTCTACCAGTGAACACTAATTATTTCTTGTGTACATAATTTATTACTAATAAAATCCAATTGTCCGTCTATTCTTCCGTTATCATTGTTGCATTAATCTTGACGTGGGATTAGCTTGAGGGTAGTGATCATCATTTAATACCAATTAAAGTAATCTCTGCTCCATTTTCATTGACTTTTCAGTGTTTCCCATCAAGAAGTGGAGTTGCAAGCTGTGTGGTAGACGTTATGTACGAGAATCATCGCTTTACAATCATGTGCGAATCGAGTGTGGAAAGGAGCCAACATTCGAGTGTCCCTATTGTGGAAGGAAATTCAAGCACAAGCATCGTTATCAATCCCACTTGCAACGAGCCTGTCAATATTGCTAGGTTTTTCACGGACTTTCCATCAACAATGTGATTATTAATAAAAATGAATCAACATTTCTGAGTGACTGATTCTTTCAAGTATCATGCCAACTCTCTTCCTGCCTTCTAGTCGTGCACATTTGTTTTTTTTTACTCTCTGTTTCTCTCTTTTTCTCTCTTTTTATCTCTTTTTATCTTTTCAATCACCAGTCTAATAGTTCTAATCATCGAAGTAATGAATAAATTTGTACACTTTCAGGACCAAGACTGGCGGTGAAAAAAATAGAAAATCTCAAGCCGAGAAAATCAGTGATCCACAAGTGCTACAGGTGTGGAAAGGGTTATCAGTTGGAGACATCACTGAGAAGACATCTGCGATTAGAGTGTGGAGTTGAGCCGAGACAGGGTTGTGATTCATGTGGGAAGAAGTTCAGTCATAAATTCAAATTGACGAATCACATGAGAACTTGCAAACGAAGGAGAAAGCACTCGTAGTTATTAAACTAAAGAACAATGAGGATTTCATTTGACATCAATCACTTGATTCACATTCTATGATTGCATTTCGTGTACAATATGAATCATTCGTAAAATAAAACAATTTACTGTGAATAATCATTAACATTTGATGGATTTATTTGCTGCTTGCCTGGATTTATCAAGTCTCCTAAAAATATAATTGCTGTACCATTTATTCTACGAGTTAGCATGCAGTCTTCGTAGTATATCATTCAAGTAGTATCACAAAAATTACACTAATGTTTGAATTATAATTTCAGGTGTGCGAGGGATAAAATCAGTAGGTGGTCGGAGATTGATCCTGGCAGTAGCACGTAAAGTGCCGATTTTAGCTCGGCAACCAAATGCTAAGACAGAATTGTCGACAGAGCAGGGAGAGATGCAGGGAATGTTCGAGTGTTCAAGATGTGGAAAAGCGTACAGAGCAAGAACATCACTGAGTCGTCATAAAAGACTAGAATGTGGTGTAGTACCCTGTGAAGTTTGTCCACTCTGCAGACGACGATTCAGACACAAATTTGTGTTAAATGCACACGTCGTCGCCTGTCAACGAAGAGTTTCCCAATCGCTTGAGAGGAATCGCCAATAAAACAACACCTCACCCTTTATTCATCCATTATTGCGATTATGTTTATTTGAAACGTTGAATCTCTGAGAGTTTTCTACATTTTTTTTAATTATATAAATTACTCCTTCGTGTGGAATAAATAATGATGACACTTGAGGGATCTGTATTTGTTGAATAATTCATCCTCTCTTTACTTTCTCTCGCAACTATTCTCAACTATTCTGATGGAATTTGAGAGACTCTCAGGTGGAAATTTAAGATCTGCTTAAGTTTTTTTAAGTTATTAACTCGTAGGAAGTGTTGGTGTAATAACTTCAAGTACTAATAAATATTGTTCATCAGATTTGTTGCAGTATGATGATGAGATCCAGTGGATGCCCAGGATAATCGACATACGCACTGTTAAGCCAGGACCATCGCGATTGAAGTGCGTACAGTGTGGAAGACAATTTTCATCAATCTTCAACCTAAAACGCCACATTGAATTCACTGTTCAGTGTGGCAATGGGGGTGAGAGGACTGAATGTACTATTTGTAAGAAGAAATTACGTCCCGACTACATCGCTAATCACATGCTCGCTGTTCATTTGAAGCACAAGAGGAGCAGAAAGCGGCAATCGATGAATCGAGGAACAGAAAATCCACCGACCATTAGACGACTCAAGCAGGCGAATTGAATGCCTTTTGGCATTCCACTAACAAATTTTTTTTCTACTTCTGTGGGTGTAAAATAATAGTGAGAACAAATAACATATTCTCAAACAATATCGTACAACAAATGGAATTAATGAGTCGTTGAACAATTGTGCAAAACACTGCTTGTTGAAGAACCTGTTATTTCTTCTGGTTTCACAGAATGAGATTGATGGGTAATTGTTTTATAAACTCGGAATCTATTCCCTGTTGCAGATTTTTTGGATCGAAAAAGAATTTTATGACAATATTGGGAAGAGAATGCGCCTTTTGCAACTCAAATATAATTTGGATACTGATTTTTTAAAGTATATATATTGTCTATATATTAATAATTATGAATAATATTGAATATTGAATTTTTATGAAAATAAAGAGATTGAATTTAATCACTAGTCCTTGATCTATTTTATCAACTGAATTTCATATTTTTGATTGCAGATTTGTCTAATCAAACGCAAGTCCATGAATTATGTGAAGAAGAAATAGTTTTCACAGCTGAAGCATCATTTTGATATTGAAATTATTTTCTATTTAAATCCAAGTTCAAATCATCAGGAAAAAATAGAGATTGAGTTGAATCTTCCGCTCCTTCGAGTTATCCAAAAATTTTAATCATTCTGTATTCTCTAACTCAAGCCCTAGACCTGAGCACATGTTAATTTTGGAAGCTTTCAACAGCACCACCCCATCTCTGTGAGTTCCACCATGTAGTGTCCCTAATACATTCTATTTACTCGCAGCTTTTGTTTTTTTAAATAAAGAACTTGACGTGAGAATTGAGGACAATTTATGTACATGACTCCTAGATGTCAAATAAATAATTAGAACCCTCTGCTGCTCCACTTATCATCCCCTAGAGATTAATAGCGATACATTTTGCACTCCGACGCACTTGCAACTTGCAACTTGCATCACATTACGTCTGATTCATTCTGTCGCTAATTAATTTGCATGTTCTCCATAATCCTCTGCTGCTTCACAACCCTTAATAAAAAAAAGAAAAACCAACCCCTAACTCGTTTAATTTTTCTGTCAATCAGGCAAAGGGAAGCAGAGATTTCCAAAGCTCGAGGTGAAACCGGATTTGACAGACTTTGGATTGGAGGAGGAAGACGAGAATTTCACGCTGTCCTTTGAATTCGACAGTGACAATTCCGAGAAGGATCACGAGATGTTCGATGTGGATGAGGATTCCGAAGAGGTAATTGACATGAATTACTCGAAGATACGCACCAGACGTCGCAAAAGGCGCAAGAACAATTGCTCGATGACAAGATATGTTTACTGCAGCATATGTGGTAGGCACTTCACTCAGATAAGCAATATGAAGAGACACGAGAAATTCTGGTGTACACCATCGACACTCCAGACAGAAAGCCGGGTCTGCACCCACTGCGGAGAAACATTCAAAACACGAAACAGTACAATTAAGCACTTAATTGATGTTCACAATGAGTAATTAGTTCTACATCACTTTATCTATTTGATTTATCCTATAATTTGAAATTTCAATTGAATACCTTTAATTTGAAGTTATTCATTTTTAGTTTAGTTCAATTTGTCAATGAATTGCGTGAACGTATCGATGGCATTATAGATGTGAAATACTGTAAAATTTAATTATGTAATAAAGATATTTCACCGTATATCGAAGAATTTTGGGTGTAAACTTGAGAGGGATGTATGACCTACTGTTGTTTTCTCTGATCAACAGGTAATAGTGGATGGATTCGAGAACAAGCAAGAGGATTTATCAAATCTATACCCTAAGCATTTGCAAATTGACACAAACTCCTCTTCCCACACGACAACTGAATTCTTCGAATATTAATTTTTTCCTGATGTCGATTGAGAAATATTACAAGAACAATTTCTAATACCAAATGATTTTGATGTTCACAGGGTACGAGATGTACAACCCCCCCCGCATCCTCGATATCGTCCACCCCATGGAGGATATATTCCAAGTGACCCCCTACCCCTCTAGACGTCATCAAGGGACAAGACTATCATCACCGGGAGAGCCTCATGCTCTAGGTAAACCCCTGCAGTACCTCTGTCCCTGTGGCAAACAATACAAATGGGCTGACAGCCTTAGAAGACACCAGAGGGTAGAATGTGGCAACAAGGAGAAGAGATTCCAGTGTCACGTATGCAAGAAGAAATTCAAATACCGATACGACTTGCGCAATCACTTGGTCATCCACAATTCTTATTAATACTCACTAAAAATTTATTGAAAAAGAAAAAGACAATAAACAGGACGAAAACCCATATCGCATCCTTCAATCAACTTCCCGATTTCCCTGGTGATGTCATAACGGTGAACGGTAAATGTTTAATTTTATTTGATCGAATAATAATGAAAAAAAAACGGAGTTATAGATTAAATTGTGTTTGTCCTGCTCCACTGTGTTGTCTTAATCACGAATGGCTTGGTAATCGTACGTATTTTATGCAAACGATTATTTATATTTTCTAGAGTACGCCCGCTCGTCAGTGAGTCCTATCGACTGGTACTATCACTATCAGAGTATGTATCTGCGTTTGGTTGCTGAGAATCAGATTACCGAGGCTAACATTGGTTTAACTGATTACGGTTACGAGGATAGACAGCATGGACAGGTAAATCCGAAAGAGAGTCCTTCGGATAACTCAGGGAATTACTCGGCCCAACCCAGTGGCTACTTCTGTCCCAAGTGTGGAAATGCGTACAGCCGTCCACATTCATTGAATCGTCATATTCGATTTGAATGCGGTGTCGAGCCCCAGTTCGAGTGCCCCATTTGTCACAAAAAATCCAAACACAAGCATAATCTTGTTTTACACATGAGAACTCACCAGAAGTCCCAATAGGGCAATTAATTTAATTAATTAAATTAATTTTTTGATACAGATTCCAGAGAATTAATTCATTTCAAACAAATTCATCTTACTAAATTTAATCTTCACCTATTGCAAAATATTGTTTATTGAAAATACTTAATTTACTCTTATCTAGGTTTAAATTCGTTATTCCATCTTTATCATGATTATTATCACGTTGGAATTAGAATAGTTTATTCATGCGTTCCAAAGATTGAGGGCAGTACTGTTTGCAGTAAATTTTGTTTATTTTTATTTCTGAGAGAAAATGGAAAATGTCTTTCTACTGAATTATTATATTATTAGATGTAAGTATGTAAGTAATACACATCTGTGATGCGATACAGCTCATGGCTGACCAAAACCTCAAGGTAATGAGAAAAATATTTTTCGTAATTACCGTAATGCTACGTCATGAGACAGTGGAATAAATTCCGATAGTCGTATTTAAGAAATGAAGTCTGATATAATACGAGAAATATATACATGTTAAACATTTAATCAATTGTTAAAAAACAAATGTATAATTGACAGAATAAAACTGAAAGATTCATATAATGAGTACTCACCGTTGCAGCATGACTCGATGTTTCAAACAAATTTTTCAATGAGATAATTATTTTGCATGTTTATTTGCCTTTCGTCCTGGTCGCCGTATCCTTTGCCTTCCGGTGGCTTTGGAGACTCATGAGGGATTATTTCTGTTCCAGATAAAAATCGTGGGGAAAGGAAGGATGGCATGTTCAGCTGTCCAAAATGTGGTAGATCATACACTCGAAAATGTAATATGACACGGCATGTCAGACTCGAGTGCGGAGTAGGACCCCAATTTCAGTGTATGCGGTGTGACAGGAGATTTAAACATCGACATCATCTTCGAGATCATGAGAGAACGCATCCTATGGACTTTTTGCATATACACTTGTAATTTTTCAAATTCTTCTTTGATCAATCGTCAAAATTTTCCCGATATTTTCATGCCACAGGAGAAGAATTCTTCTCATGACAAAATATATTATCAAGATCATCACGCCATTTATCAATTCTTTGTTATTGAATCCTCTTCTTACACTCGATATTGTGAATCGGTATTGAAATTGTGGGAATTTTCATTGAGATCATTTGCCCAATTTGTATTTTTAACTGTCGAACCGCACAATCACATGAAATTTAGTTTAATTCGAATCGAGAAGAAATGAGATTTAAAATAATTCCACTTCACTGTCAATTAATAGAATACTTATTATTTATTTTACTTATTCATTAATAAAATCATGTCTCTTCGGACATTTGAAACCGTAAAATAAAAAAGGGTCCGCCATTTTCTCATTTCCGCGCGCTTTAAAAACTGGCGCGTGCGCTCTGCAGAGCTAATGGCGCTGCATTCGCAACATGGCGGTATCTTCCTAAAACAAATGTTTATCGCCGATAATGTGATGTTAAAAATACGTATTTTAATAGTAATGGAGCGTAAATAATTCCCCAATGTCACACAAAAATATCTGCATGACCTGGAAGTCTGTATAAACCGAAAAATCGTCGGTGATCAATTCCAAAACGTGATAGACAACTTGGAGGTTAATTTGAGTGATTGTGAAGTTACTTCGTGGTGCAAAAGATTTATTAAAATCAAGATGTTGTTGAGATGCTGTCAGTATGCAACACGATGCCAGCCTAGGTATTTTGTCACGAGTGCAATTAGAAATTCATTCACGAGAAAAAAATCAGATGCTGAAATCGCTGCTGAGAAGAAACAGAAGACTGTGCATTATGTCACTGCAATTGGATTATTAACTCTTGGTCTGGCCTATGCTGCTGTTCCCCTGTACAGATTATTTTGTCAGGTAACTGCGACATGTCAAGGTTAAATCATCATCAGCTGTTTGTATTATCAACTGATCTGTTATCATTCACCCATTAATTCATTCATGAAATGTTCTACATGTTCTGTTGATTAATGTGGAGGCAATTAATTTAGGCGACGAGCTACGGTGGTACTATAAGTACTCACAGGCCAGAAGATGTCGATAAGATGAAGCCAGTGAAGAACAGAGTCATCAAAGTCCACTTCAACGCCGACATTGGGGCTGCCATGCTTTGGAACTTCAAACCACAACAGAGAGACATCAAAGTGTCCCCTGGAGAGACTGCTCTGGCGTTTTACACAGCGAAAAATCCATCTGACCACCCAGTGATTGGAATTTCTACGTACAACGTTGTTCCCTTCGAGGCTGGACAATATTTCAATAAAATTCAGTGCTTCTGCTTTGAAGAACAGCAGCTCAACCCTCATGAAGAGGTAATGACAATCATAAATTGAAAAACACATCAATTCTATTTTGCGAAGTATTGATTGACTCATGTTTATATTCTTCCACTGAATCAACATTCTATACTTTAAAACAAACAATGATTTTTGTTTACATTAATTTTTATTCATCTATTCATTTATTTATTTCTATCATCTCCATTTGCTGTTGGTGAAAGGCAGTGTTAACATGATTACCTTTTTAATTATCAAAGGTGGACATGCCAGTATTCTTCTACATCGACCCAGAATACGCCGAGGACCCGCGACTAGAGAATTGCGACGACATCACTCTCTCCTACACATTCTTCGAGGCGAAGAAGGGATTGCAATTGCCTGTACCGAGCTACATTAAAAAGCACATTGCTTAGTGCAAGTAGTCTGTGCTTTGGTGGAAATTGTACAGAAGGTTATTGATTAAATGTTAAACTATAATTTAATCCAATCGAGTTATCCATTGCATTTTCCCTTGATCTAAACTCGTGCTGTTTTTATTAATTTGTTTTCTGATGGATTTAGAATCTAAATAGGGCATTGACTGGGTAAGCTCGTCTCAAGCCGCAGACTTTCTCCTTGTCGATGTACATAGCATCGACCTTCAGGGATAAATCGTGTTCTAAACCATTTCTGGTACGCAGGAGTCGCTGGTGCTGGCACTCCAGTTCCTTCAGCATCTTGTGCATCTTCTCTACCTGATGGTTTATGTCCTCGATCTCCTTCTGAAGACTTACGTGGGCATAATCACGACATAACTCCAGCTCTGGACGATGCATTCTGGCCTCTAGACGTGTGTGGGCAACCTTCAGAGCGTAACTTTTGTCAGCTATTGACTTTCTCATTATTTCAAGATTTTTCTCAACATCGAAGATCTCTTGTTGGACCTGAGAAAAAATATATTTATTTTTGGAAATTGACAGAACGTGCGATGAGTGATACCTTGTGGAGATGCTGCTGGAGTTGGTTTTTCGCCTCGAGTAATTCTGAACTTCGTCTTGATAATGCATTGTTTGTACACGTCCAGGTCTCCCACATCTCACGAGACACTCTGTTGACCAATGCCTCGGCTTCTGCCCGCAATTGAACGGATTTTGCTCTTTCAGTCTGGGATTTCTGGACGATTCTGTTTGCTGCATCAGCCCAGGTCTCTTGTTCTGAAACACTTGATGGAATTTCGGAGTGAACGAGTTCGAAGGCCCTCGGGCCTGATCTAGAATTTTTCTGGGAAAGTAACTTTTTTTCAAAATTCAATTTTTGATTCAGTAACTTTCCCTCCCTAAAAATTCTACATCGAGCTCTTACAGATTTTCTCAACAAATTTACGTAATTACCATGGATCATATTTTTCAATGCCAGAATAGTACTGTATCCCATGACTGTAATTATTTAATTGATGACAGAGAGTGTCTATTCCAAGAGCACTCTGTTTATTCTTAAGATCCAACTCGAGTTGATTTTGCGAGGCTCGACAGTTCCTCAACTAAAAAATAATCCATAATTCCTCAGCACTTTGAATCAACTAAATAAATTAATTCCAATGATCTTCCTGTACACACCTGATCCTTGCATCTTTCCAGACAACTCTCAAGTTTTTTCTGATTGCTCTTGAGATTGGAAACTTCGTACAGAAGACACTTCTCCGAGTCATCGTGAACCAGTTCAGTGCTTTTTCTCGCTTCACGATGATAAAGACACTCTTCAGCAATGTGGAGAGGCCCCTCGATGTCCTGGACAGCTTTCTCTAGGACACTTCTGCAATCCTGAAGCCTCTCGCACTCCTGGATGAGTCTCTCTAACTCAGCAGCTACCTCATTCCTCCAGAATGTCACATCCGTTATTCGTTCCCCCAATCTTCTTCCTGTCTCATGTTGAGTTATCTGGATCTTTTCCTCCGCTGCCCTAAACGTTACAATCAATTTTTTAAAACGTGAACTTGAGGATTAATCTCCAAAAAAGGATCTCAAATTTAATTCTTCGTTCAATTAATTCTTCAATTAATTTACTATTAGTAATAAATTAAATAAAATAGAGAATTAATTCTCAATCACTAATAAAGACTAAAATTAGATCAATTTTCAATTTCAAATTTTTTTTAAGGGACGTAAAGAGTCATTAATACCGATCATTGAGTAATTACAAAATTTTCATCTTCTGTCAGTGGATAATTGCGGGGGAATAATAATTGGAATAATTAATATAATTACCGCATAATCTTGACAGCATCATTCCGCATTCTCTCGGAATAATAAGTGTTAGCGTCAGCATCATTATAGAACTTGATCTGCTTCTGGAACCACTCATTGGGAGTGTATCTCGTATGCAGAGCAGACTGTGATGCGTGCACCGGATTCCTCTGATACCCAGTGACTAGATTGGGGAATTTCAGAGGCTCCGTCGTCATCCCCGTCGCTGGATCGACAGCATAAGTCGATATACATTTTCTAGATCTGCATAAATAAGATGTAATCAATTCAATGATTCACAACAGCTGTACGTTAAATCATTGAAATTTTATTCTACTTTTGGGATATTTTATGCTTACAGAGGCACCAACTGTACATTTTCATAGCCAGCACTAGGTCTCCAAGGCATGAGTGTATGATTTTTGTGGTAATCGATTGATCTCACTGGAATTGCCGGCTCCAAACAGGGCATAGAGGAGCCTACGTTGCTCCAAGGTTCGATTTGCTGTTTGAAAATTATTATTATAAGAATAATTTGAACAATTAACGGATGATTAGTACCACCTAGACCGACGATTCCTCGTAAAACTACGAGTCCTTCTATTTCATTTTATTGAATAGGGGAAAAAAATCTCGAGTGAAGTTGAGGAAGGTCAAGGTCCAGAAGCGAGTGTCAGTTCAGTGAGTGAACCGTCATGGCAGATGTTCCAACAGAAGCTCCAGAGCGTACGTTAAAAATTACATTTTCTCCACTAAAATGACAACAATAAAACTACTCTCTGTCCGATAAATCTCTGGGGCAGTTTGCCCTCGTTATTAATGAATTAATAATCATCAATGACTCAATAAAACACTTGTTGAAGACCTGGTCACTCGTGAAGAGGTTATATCTGCTCATAATCCGTATAAAATCCGTCATAATCACGAGTGACAACCACATGACTTTGGATTTAATGAGGAATTAAAATTCTTGATCATTGAAATGTGCAGATTGTCCTGGGACCCAGAGTGATAGTGCAGGAAAGGCATCAGCATGTGCAGGATGTCCGAATCAGAATATCTGTGCGTCGGGTGCCACAAAAGCCCCAGATCCTGGTATAGCTCTTGTGAAAGAGCGACTTGAATGTGTTAAACATAAAATACTGGTATTATCAGGAAAAGGTGGAGTTGGTAAGAGTACGATGACCTCTTTGCTCTCGAGGACACTTGCTGCTGACGATCCCGACAGAAATGTAAGGATTACTGTGACCTCATTAATCAAATCCAGAGTTGACTCTGGATTAATTCCGATTTCACGAAAATCTACGAGTGTTTTTGTTTTTTCTCTGGATTTTTTTCTTTTGTCGTGAACCCAGGGTTAACCGAGAGTCAAGTCTTGGTTTGGTTGGTCAGGGTGATTTATTTAAATGCACTCACCCGTTTTCCTAGTCCCAGCACATCAATGTGATCCTCGATGTACATTGTGTCATGTCAAGAACTGGAAGATATCCTCGTGGTACAGAATACTCTGGGCATATATAGTTATTTGTGTCGTGACAGGCTGTACCAGGGATCGATCGATTCTACCAAATACATCCCCAGGGGTTTTATGTAGTTGATAGACACTTACAGAATCACACACTGGGGTTTATCAGGGTTGGAGGTAAATGAGGCTCTTGTGAAGATTTATTGACTTTTTTTGGGGGATTTTCTGTGTCGCAGGTCGCTGTATTGGATATTGATATTTGTGGACCTTCTCAGCCAAGAGTTCTTGGGGTTCTGGGGGAACAGGTGCATCAGAGTGGTTCCGGGTGGTCACCAGTTGTAAGTTTTTTTTTTCTTCATATTTTAATGACGACAAAAATTTTGAAATTCGGATTTTTGGGGGAAGTCTGTTCGGATTAATTGTTTCTCTATTATCTAGTGGGAGACGTACAATATTTTCTATTGTAGAAATGCTAATATGATTTTCACTATTTCAGTATATTGAGGATAATCTATCGTTGATGTCCATTGGATTCCTTTTGGCCAGTCCAAGTGACGCCGTCATCTGGAGGGGACCAAAGAAAAACGGTAAATTCCCGAAATTTCGTTGGTCGACCTTGGATTTGATATTCTTCATAATTTTCTTTCTGGCGCAGGTATGATTCGACAATTTCTGTCAGAAGTAGACTGGGGATCTCTAGATTATCTTATCCTGGACACTCCACCAGGCACTTCAGACGAGCATTTGTCTGCTACAACATATCTGAAGGGTGCAGGTATCACTGGGGCTGTCGTGATAACAACTCCTCAAGAAGTCGCTTTGTTGGACGTGAGAAAAGAGATTGATTTCTGCAGGAAGGTCAACATTCCGATCCTGGGGACCATCGAGAATATGAGTCTGTTCGTTTGTCCCAAATGTAAAAATACGGCTGAAATTTTCCCAGCGTTGACCGGTGGAGCTAGGCAAATGGCCAAAGATCTGGATATCGAGTTCTTGGGGGCTGTACCGTTGGATCCACTCCTGGCAAGATGCTGTGATGAGGGGAAAAATCCACTCACTGACATGCCAGAATCGCCGGCTGTGGCCGCCGTCAAAAATATTGTGTCCAGTGAGTCTTTTTGATTTTACAGTAATTTTAAAATCGAATATTAATCTGTAAATTATTGATCTTCTGACTTTTGTTGCAGGGATAGTCGAAAAGTGCGAAAAGAATGAGAGGAATATCTCAAGTGCTGAGTAATTCCATAAATTTTAATGCATAACAGCTGCTATTTTAATAAGCAATAAATATTGTATTTCGTAAAAAATAAAATTGTCTAACCGGAAACGGACAAAAGTCCACTGGACACTTTTCATTTACAGATATCGATAAATAAATTTTTGTGTGGAGATAAATCACTGATCATTCTGACATTTTGGGTTGTAAAAAAATGGAGTAAATGAAGTCAGTGTGTATTGTAATCATCGTCATCTTCCACGAAGAAATCTGTAGATTCTAGACCTGCTGGCAAATGATTTCTGCTTTTATCGTCCATTCTCACTAAATTCCGGCCTGTTAATAAAAAAAAATTCAATCTTTGAGCCAAGGAAATTTCACCAAAAATATATAACCAATCATGCCAAAAAAATCTCAATCTATTAACTTCCTACTGAATATTTTCTACGAAACACTTCATTTTTGAATTCAATATTTTTACGTATTTTTATTCAAATAATGTGAAGGTTAATGGATATTTTATTTAAATCCACGTACCGACAGTGACTTGTAATTTTCTTTGAGAAGACGTATCCCGGATAAACATTGGGACTGATGGCTGTGGGCCTTTGTGATCGGCAATTATCTTCTGGACACGCCTGAGGGCTGAATCAATAGTTCTAGCTTTGGTAGCTTTACACAGATAACAGACACATTGTGCCAAGATCACATCACACTCCGGCATCCCGATCATTTGACAACTATGCATAGTATGAACAGCAGTATCTGAAATAAAAAAAAGAATTAACTTGTTACAATTAAATTATTTACAATAATTCAACGGACTAGGAGCAGGTGCGATGATAATTTCGGAAGGGATGAGACTTCCATTGGATTCAACTAACCCAAAGCATCAGGATCATCAAAAGCGACATCTTCACTGGCAATTCTAATCAATCGTTTCCCAATGAAGACTGGATCCTCTCCACTCGCCATCAGCCTCGCCAGCCAATACAAAGCTCCATTGGCATGACTATCCTTAATACATTTATGCATTGCAGCCACCAAATCCTGATTCCTGTCGCTCTCCCTCTCTGACATAGAATATGCCTTTTCCAGATTTGATTTAACATCTCTTAAACTAATTCTCGGTACTCCTTGGGCTCCTCTTCCTCTAGATTTGACAGTGAGTTCCAGACTACTTAAAGCAACTCTGGCATCTCCATCGCAGACTTCTGCCAGCCAATCCAAGGCCTCTCTCTCAATCAGAAAGTCTTCCTCATGTCCTTTTTCTTCGGATTGATTCTTCGGAATGATGCCACCCTCTAGGGCTGTCACTGCTCTCTGCAGAATCTGTGTCACGTCTTTTGAGGACAATTTTTCCAACGAAAAAACTCTACATCGACTCAGAAGGGCTGAGTTGAGACTGAATGATGGGTTTTCTGTGGTCGCACCGATGAGAATAAATATTCCAGCCTCAACGTGTGGCAGAAAAATGTCTTGCTGAAGTTTGTTGAACCTGTGGATCTCATCCATGAAGACAACTGTTCTACGATTGTTCTTGGATTCTGCCATTGCAGTTGCAACTGCCTGTCGAATATCAGCAATACCAGAGGATGTTGCTGAAAGTTTGACGAATCTAGTGTCCAAGCTGCCCCTCTTCTTCGTCATCTTGGCAATGATGTTGGCTAGAGACGTCTACGAACATCAATTAAATTAATAAAACTCAATTAAAACTGGACGATTCACCTTTTTACCTTGCCACAGCCCGGAGGACCCCACAAAATCATACTGGTCACTTCTTTCTTCTCCATCAACTGCCCCAGAACTGTCTCAGACCCCACCATGTGCTTCTGCCCAATATAATCACTGAAATCAACAGGTCTCAGTCTTTCTGCCAATGGCACGTGCTCTTTGACACCTGACGTTTTCTTCTTAGACATTTCTCCACCAAATCGTGAATTAGAACTGAACATCTCAACTTTTTTGGATTTCAAATTATCTTTATTTAATTGTTGTCCTCCAGAGGCCTGGGGCTTTGTATCAACATCTGGGATTTCCTGAACTTTGGGCTTCTTCAGATCTGGTTTCTCACTATTTAAGAATGGAAATGTCCTCTTACTGACTGATGCAGAAGGTGTCCGATTACTCTCACTAAATAGACACCTGTCCACATGATTTTCAATCTCAGTCACTGGAAATATCTCTGAACAAACTGGACATTCCATATTTTCAATTAATCCATGCACTCACTGTTTTGATTACTCTGTTCGCTCTGTTCTAACGAGAACTAGCGGCTTGCGCTAATGACCTGCGCAATATCCCATAAATATTTCTAGAATATAGGAGTCTCTAACCTGGAAATTCTTCGAACAGTTCAACAAGTGAAAAGCAGTCGGAATTATTAAAAACACTGTGACCATGTGATAAAAACGTCAAATCAAAGAGTTCTTCGAAAATAATTTCACCTGGCGTATTCGCTTGATGAATTCATCGCATGTACTAAATGAACAATTAAATAAATAACAATGGAATTGCTGTCAGAGGATCAGCGATACAGAATCGAGCAAGAGGAGTTCGTCTCAAACCATGGGGGCAACTCCCCCATGGAAATAATTTTCCTGATGCTGCCAAACCTCTTCACCATCAGTCTAACTCATCTCGTGGTCTTGAAATACTCGAGGAAAGTCTCTCATAATATCCAAACGTCTATCGAATTCATCCTGAATGTCGTGCCCTGCGTCCTCTGCTGTACGATCCTCTCAGAGTACACGAAAATCGTCTCCATCGTCCTGGTGATAGCATCAGTGCTGATTTTCAGAAGTATTCATCAGCTCCCCAAGGAAATTCGCCTGGAGAAATCGACGAAGAGAATTCCATTCCTGACCCATTTCCGAGCGCTCACCAACATCATCACAGCAATCTGCATTTTGGCCGTTGACTTCAGGGTCTTCCCCAGGAAATTCGCCAAGACCGAGCTGTATGGATACAGTCTGATGGACACCGGGGTTGGGCTTTTCGTAATGGCAAATGCCCTCGTGGCCCCTGAAGCCAGGGACTCTCTGGATGCACCCAGAGGGAATATGATGAGGAGACTCTCTGAGAATGCCAGAGTCTGCCTCAAAGGATCAGCTCCACTCCTGATCCTCGGGTTTGGACGGTTTCTGGCTGTTGAATATTCGGGCTACCAGAAACATGTATCTGAATACGGGGTTCACTGGAATTTCTTCATCACTTTGGCCTTCGTAAAGATATTCACCAGCACCATATCAAACGCCATCAGCTCAAAATTCGCTGGACTGACTGGACTCTGGATCATTATAATGCATGAGTACGCATTGAGCACAAATGGACTGAAGGAGTGGGTGTTGGGAAATACTCCGAGGGTTGATTTCGTTTCTGCCAATCGAGAGGGGCTTGTCTCGGTTCCTGGATACGTTGGGCTCTATCTCATGGGAATTGCTGTAGGAAGAGTCATTCACATGACGTACAACTCATCCAGGAGGCATGCCCTTTTCACCAAGTACAAGAGTCATGGGTTTGAATTTACGTGCAACAAATTTCTTCTTGTTCTGGTCACCAAACTGTTTTTTATGTCGTGCATTTGTTGGGCTGTAACTTTAATCTGTGAATCGAGGTTTGGAGTTTCTAGGAGGCTCACTAATGCTGGGTATTGCTTCTGGATTGTAGCACTCAGTGCTACTGTCATCAACGGATTGCTGCTGGTGGATATACAGGTAGACATTGTCATGCAGATTGTCAGTGGGAGGAAGAAGGGCAGGAGTGAAAACAGAAGAGTTACTTTTGAGGATAATGATGAGGGTGAGGGGGTGAGGATTACACCCGAGATTTTTGAGGCTGTTAATTATAATGGACTTACTTTTTTTCTTCTTGCTAATTTGATGACTGGGATTGTTAATATGAGTATGCGAACTCTCTACGTGGAGGATTTTAATGCTCTTCTGGTGATTATTTTTTACATTGTGGCGGTGGTTTTGGTTTCTGTGATTCTTCACAGGTACAAACTTCAAGTGAAGTTGTAATTGAAAAATATGTACATCCTACAAAAGTCTGAGCGTTTTATTGATTTCTGTGGGTTGAAGAGATATGTACAGTTTTCCATAGGAAAATAATGAGTTTTCAGTTGAGACTGAGATTGAGATTCATTTGAGCAGTACATTGGAATGGTTTTCTCATTTTAGAGTATTTAAAAGACATCTGGGTAAATGGTAACTGGAGAAAACTTCGGTGCTAAGAGTATTTCTTCCCACAAACTTCATAATTCCTGTCTCGATGTGCTAGGGGCATCTTCGCGTGACTCTATCCCCGTCGACTTTCTATTAAGAAATTCCTGAAAGTCTTCATGGTTCTTTACGTGCTCCGCCGCAAGCGCTACAATTCTCACGAACTCGTCAGTGTCAAAACTGTAGTTTGTGAATTTAGCGTGTGCACCACCATCTGGATGAGTCCCCTTCGAGAAAAAAAGAATATTTTAAATTTAAAATTTTGTTGAGGAATGAAGAACGAGAGGAGAAATGGAATGATAATTGATGGGTTCAAAGGCACTTACAGGGTCTTGCTGTACCAATTTTTCACCGTCTTCCCACGTAAAGTATTTTACACCTCGCAATCTTGCGAGATCTTTGTAGCAACCAGCGTCTTCACAATTGTATCTAAATGTAAAAAATTATTGAGACCAATTACAGTTTGACAGCTCCTGAGATTTTCAATTATAAAAATTTATTAAAAAAATATCCAGGGATTTATTTCGAGGATATAAATCCCTGGGTGCCAGTGCAATAATTCTCTGCGATCACTGAACAATTTTTGGTCAAGAAGAACTTACAACTCAAATACAGCAGCCCAATCAGGTAGAAACATAGCATGGGTCAACCCAGCACCGTGAATTCCAATAAAAACGTCAGTGTTTCGGGTAATGTCCAGTTGTTTCTTAAAAGACACATCTCTGTTGTATATCACCTGAAACAAACCAGAAATAAAAATCAAAGACCAAGAGAATTGTGCTTCAAGTATTTCACCGTACCTTTTTCACTTTATACTCAGGATTTTTCTTCAAAGCTTCTACTAACTCATCCTCGTTGAGAATTCTTCGATATCTCGTGTCTCGGCTCAGTAAAGTCACTCGAATTTTATCACTTTTCCTTTCACGAAGTGGAATATTCAGTCTGTGAAGTATGTGTTCACTGAAAGCCTTGAATAGACCACTTTTTTCACAGCCATAAATCTGAAAAGGCATTTTTAGCAGTTAAAAATATGAAGGGAAGGAATTTTGTCAAAGAAAAAATGGCAGAACTTGAGAAAAATCTTTTTGAAATCCAATCACATCTTTAGTCAAACGCAATAATAATTACCAATGGAGTATTATAATAAAGCCCGAATATCATCCTCGGCAACAGTGGGAACACAATATTCTTGAAGCACACCGTCTTCCCTCGAAAAGTCTTGAGGTCCCACAAGGGATTTTTCGTGAAAGCCTCGAATGTATCTTGAAACGCAGACCGGTAGCTTAAAAAAAATCAATACACAATTTAAAAAATATTAAATTGATAATCCCAAGTCAATAGTACAAATGAAAATAAATTTGAAAAACCAAGAAAATGAACGTGACCCGCAACAGACGATTTAAAATGGATTTTTAAATGAAAAATAATGAAAAAAACGCAACGATTACGAGAAAAATAATTAAGACTGAATAGCGTCTGTTTCGGTTGAGCCTTCAGGGTTCGAACAGAAATCCAGCAGACCATAAAATAATTATTCAATATCATAATCATTCGCTGATATATTCACCTGTAGCTTTCCCAGATCATTATATGATTATCAGTACTGAATGCCGTTGGGTGAGACAGATTGACGTGTAGCGAAGCGTAGAGATTGAAAAAATCACAGAAGTGGTGGTACAAGTTTACTGCTGCAACATAGGTGTTGCTGTCAAGTTTGAAAAAAATTATTCAAATACCCTTGATATTATTAATAGCGTAGAAATTTTCTCTTTAAAATTCACTCACTCGCGTCTATTTTCATGAGGAAAGTTGGCTTTTCTACAACAATGTCGCAGTCACCATCGATTATCGGCCGTCGTTTTAACTTTCGAAAGTTCCGGATCTCAGGGCCCCAGGATTGGAGTGCACTGATGTGATCGGCGTTGTCCTCCAGTCTCTTCTTATGGAGTCTTGAATAATAATAGATGATCATGATTTTAAATCCCACAGATCTTTAATAAGACGATAAACTCACGTGCAATAGCCACCGATGTCTCCCTCCCTCAAGACATCCATTTTATATCTAATTGGTTCAGTTCTGTGCACCAAATTAGTGAAGTTAATCATGATATTCCTTCCCCGGCAGAACCTCAGGTGCTCTGAGCATTCCAGTGATGAATCATCCTGTTGATTATAAGTGTGATGTAATTTAATACAAATTAAAATATTCTCGCTTATTCACTCTACAGTGAACGATTTAATAATATTTATGGAATAATTATTCAATTTTTATCGTTTTACTATTGTGTCGTGAACTTACTATGAACAGGGGCTCGCAGACGACCATCATCTCACGTCTCTGGTCCCTCACATATCCAAAATCACCCTGGGCGTAAAATGTTTCCACTTGCGCCTCTTTCGTTGCTACCCAGCCCTTGTGGTCTCCGGGACAATGAGGAATTGAGAAAGCGTTTTCAGGTTTACAGTTATCCTCATAGCCCCAACATCTCTCCTTGATTAATTCATTCTACGTAACAGATATTATTGTCATTTGTGTCATTCGGTTTTCAGTAATTACTTTCTCCTAAACTAGGACCGAATCATCAAGACATTAAGAGTGTCCTGATAAATCTAATAATCTAGGTACTCCTAAATATTTTCTCCCAGTTTCAAGACGACTCAATTAAAATAAAAATGAAATTAATCCTATTAATCAAATAATTAATCAACTAATGAAAAAACAATTAGTTATTTTTCTAAATCCCAAGATTTTTCCATAAAATTGTTAATTTTTTGTTTTAAGAGAATAAATTATTAGGGGGAGGCGTTAAAAGAGAGAGAAAAATTGGAGAGGTGATAGACATAGACATACCTTATAAGGACAGCGATGATCCTCCCGGCACTGTCTAGCTCTGGCCGGAAAAGAATTAAAATAGTACTTGATATGTTCCGGTGGTAAATCAATCTCCGAGTAATTATCCACCCCATCAGCAGCGATAAAAATAGCGAATAAAATAGCGATCCTCCTGGAGTAACAGCTCATGGTGATGTGGTCAATCACTGGAATAACAACATGAGTCTCACACCGGAAGAATATTATGCTTGGCTCGTTAAACTGACTTGGTGGTGAGGAATCGAGTGACTGAACGTGGAAAAACCACCTGAAGGCACAGGTGGGTGTATGACCTCAGTTACCAGTAGCACTGGATGAATACTGGGTCTTTCACTCGGTTTAAAGTTTAACTATCACGATAAATGTTGGAGAGGGGATGGAGGGAACAATATGAAAAGAAGAAGGGAAGTTGCACGTGAGTTGGTTACAGGAATTCACCGGCTTGCCTTGAAGTAACAGATGCCAAAGGAAATTGTGGGGGTGTATCATTATTCCATCAAATACATAATTGATTACCCCCATGGATACATCCGGCTGTTCCCCTCGTTACTCATTGATTCATTTCAATCAGTAGTCATTAGAAATTTATTTAGTTACTTACTCTTCTAATTGAGATACTCCTAGGTGTGATTCTGGAATTATTCGAACGTGTGAGGCAGATGCTTGAACCCGTTTTACCACCATCTGGAAATTTTCACTCTCTGCCGATCGTACCACTTGCACTTTCCATATCTGCGATTCGATCAGCTGTGGAGAATTTTTTTTTAATGATGCAGAGGAGATACTCCAGAAAACCGCTGGGGCACGTGGTGACGTGGATAGCGCATGTGCGATTTTTTTTTAATCGAGGGACTTACCGACTGTTGGTGATGGAGATTATCGACCAGCTGGTTATGTCTTATCAGTTGTCGATCGGTTATTGCTGGTTCGTAAATGATTATCGAGATTATCATACATTGATACCGATCGATTGAGGATAAATTAGTTGACTGAACTAGTGATATCCTTTAGTAAAAAAAAGCATGGACTGGACATGTAAAAAATGTCATTAGAAATTATAGGAGAGATCAGCAGCGCTTATGGCAAAGGTTAAACAGCGATTTTCGTAACTGCAGTTATGGAAGTGAATCAGAGGCGGGACCCGTGAATAAGGCATAAGGGTGGTTGGTTGGTTGATCTGGTTGGTTGGTTGATCTGGTTGGTTGGTTGATCTGGTTGGTTGGTTGGTTGGTTGATCTGGTTGGTTGGTTGGTTGGTTGATCTGGTTGGTTGGTTGGTTGGTTGATCTGGTTGGTTGGTTG